AAGATACATACAGACACAGATAAACTTTTGAATGCGCTTCTTTTTGGGTCGGGTTAAAAAAGGCTTACGAGACTGGCTGTACGGTATGGTCTGTCTGTACAATTCAGTCAGAAGTCGCTGCTCGCGTCGGAGGTTTAGTCAGGACTGCCCTCGTCGTCCTTCGTCAAAGAAAGGACGGTCAGTCGCTCTCCTTTGTCCAGAAGAAAGTCAGTCTAACTTCGAATTCCTGTCAGTCTAGTAAGTCTGTCTTTGTGGCTTGTCAGTTTGGTCATCCATGGAGGCTGGACTGGACACTGGCAGTTAATCGCTAAACACGTAAATTGCAATCACATCTTACAACAATATACCAAGCATAATTTTCTTGAAACATAGTAAGGTGCTATGCTATGTTTAGAAACATTAATAAAATTATCCAAAAAGCGTCCAATTTTAGAAAACAATTTTTGTTTCCTGATTTTGTTATTAGAGTTAAATTCCTCAACCTGTTAATAACTCCTCACTGCTATATAATCGCTTATTTCAGCGTCAGTTCTCGGTATTGCAATGCTGTTTGGTATCCTCGTGACGCCGCCAATCATGGGGCGACTGGGCCGGAAGGTGGCACACTACATTGTCATTCTGGAAGCTCTAACAGCATGGTTCATGATCGCCGCAGCTTCTAGTGTAAAGGTAATTTGTTGTTAAGATATGTTTGCAAAATTAAGTTGTAATAGGCATTGCTATTATTGCTTTTATTTCTTGTATTTTCGTAGTAAGGTTTCAAAAGTCTGCCTTGAATGTAACATTTCGAATGGAACATTGCGTGTCAAGACACAATCATTTGTCCCAATTAAGGCTTCATTAAGCAACAACCACGACTAGAACTAATAAAACTGACAAGATATTGACTCCATTGACTTTCTTCTAAATGTTTCATATTTTGTTTCAGGAGTTGATCATTGCAAGAATACTCCATGGACTTTCATTCGGAATGTTTTCGCCCCTTCGATCGGTCATTATCGGAGAGTACACAAGCCCAAAAAACCGCGGCGCGTTCCTGGCTGCAATATCGTTGGCCCAAGGCTTTGGCATAATGCTTACACATCTAAGCGGTTCTTTAATCCATTGGCAATGGACAGCGTTAATCTGCGTCTTCTTTACATTCATCAGTTTGGTCATGACCATATTTTCACCAGAATCTCCCAGTTGGCTAGCCGATAGAGGAAGATATGACGAATGCAGAAAAGCATTCCATTGGCTTCGAGGTTTCGAGGAGGAAAATGAATTGGAAGAAATGATCGAAGCGAGAATATTTCCAAAAAACGCTAGTCATAAAAAGAAAAATAATATTAAGAACCTATTATCGATAATAAAGAAGAAAGAATTTTACAAACCCGTGGTGACAACTGCTCACGCGTATTGCATGCTGTCTTTTTCAGGTAGCATGACATTTGCAGCGTTTTCAACAACGATATTAGGATTGATTATGGGATCAGCAGTCAACGTGCATTTGTGGATGGTGGCTCTGGATGCACAAAGGATATTAACAAGTACCGTAGCCATATTTCTTATCAACAAGACTAAAAGGCGAAAGATGACGTTCGCGACTCTAGGCCTCTGTATAGGAACACATTTGGTGATGGCTGCTTATGTATATGCTAAAAAGAAAGGATTGTTATACTTCGATTCATTATGGATCCCAGGTATATTAATAAACTTGCACTACATATCAATTGGTACAGGAATGGTGCCTTTACCAGGAGTTATTTTAGGAGAAGTATTTCCTATAGCATGCAGAAGTATAGGAGGTAGTATTGCTATAGGATTTTATTCAGTATTCATGTTCTTAGTACTTAAAACATTTAATATGTTAGTTGATAATATAGGTCTTCATGGTACTTATATGGTTTATGGCGGACTTCTGATGTATTGCTTTATTGTAATGTGGTTCTTTTTGCCAGAGACAAAAGGTAAAACTTTGCAACAAATTGAAGATGAGTACAAGGGTCTAACAAAGTATAAGGATGAGATTAAACCATTGGCTGTTGAGATGTCTCGAATAAATGTAAGATAGTTAGCAGCATAAATTTTCCTATGTACTGTGTTGTTGCATAAAAGAAGAAATAATTACATAATATAGACACTAATCTACTGTATGTCTAAACAGAAAAGATTTTGGTACTATTTTAAAATAATTACTGTTTTAAGAGGTTAAAAAATACATGTTTTGTTGCTCATAATTAGGAATATGTTTTTTTTAAAGTAAGTGAGTATTAATATATCCTTTATGGCGGCCACTAGGCTTGTGCCAGTGTCAGTGAATAAAATCAATATATTATCATAAAATGAGTATTATATAAATTTGTTTTGCGAAGACTTTGTTATAAAAATTATACTCAGTATTTTAGATTAGATCTTTAGCTGGCCTCTAAATTGTGTCATGAGCTTTTGTATAGTTAGTTAGTGATATTTTTTTTTTATAATATCTAGTGGCGGGACGAAAAAGTCGTGGGCCTGATAGTAAGCTACACACCTGTCCATTCTATTATTAAACTGTTTTATAATAAGTTTCAAAACAATTTAAAACATTTAAGTATTCATTTTCTATTAGTTACACTTTCTTTCTTAAATTATTCAGAGTTTTAAAATTAGTTTTAAGACCTATTTATTGTAAAATCTAATAATATAGTTATTAAGTACTCATAACTGGTTGAAGTATTTTAATTACTGAAGTATATTTTTTGTTAAAATGCCTATAACTCAAAATTAAAAATATAAAACAAATGCAAGTAAAAATTTTCTCTTTTAAGATTAAGACTTTATATTAGAATTAAAGTTTGTTCTTAAATTAGATTTTAAGATATCGACTATGAACTGGCAATCGGTACAATCTCAATTTTGACAATTTTAGAGGTGAAGAACAAAAATTGTTTTGCGTCATTTATATAGCATCTAGTTTATTAAATAAAGATATTTAGTTTTTAAATATTTTTATTACACATGTATGTATGTACACTATGTATTTTTATTTAATAAACAAGATGCTATATAAATGAATTTTTCTTCATCCTGTAAAGTTGTGAAAATTGAGATAGTACCGGTTGCGAGTTCACAGTCGATAAATTGAAATGTGATTTTATGATTTTTCTCTCAACTTATTTTATTATACATATTATATAAGTAAAATGTAATATGAAATACACACTTTCTTGTTAGATAGGTTTTATTTTAACTTTAATCAAGTTTATTTGTGCTATTAAATGCTACGCAAATTACACTCAAAAGGCATGTCAAGAGAGCATCGGGGTACATTCGCATCTCTCACTTATATAATTTAGTTTCGTGTTTATATCTACATACTATTAACAATCGAACTCAATTTATATAAACAGCCATTAAAAGGTTATCAATAAGTATCAAATTTAAATTATTTACAATACAAAGATTTTAAACTGCTATATTTGTTACATGCATTACAGGTTTTTACAACCTACATTTTAATACTTCTATGGGTTATGGTTGTAACACCATCCCACATTAAGATCATATAATTTAGTATAGTAATGAGTTTTTCTTTAAATCTTTGAAAAATACCCATATATCCTTAATCAGAAAATGAATCAGTCGATTTTGAAGAATAAATACCTCGTCTATTATCGGACTCATCAAAAAAAGTCACTAATAAGCATCACAACACCTGGGAAGAAACAGACTTTCACAGATAAGACGAAATTGACTTATTTTTATGATATTTCTTATTTTCATACATTGTTTAACACTATATTCTGGGTGTCCAGTAGTAATAAACCTATTAGTAGCAGTAGAGTTCGTTGTGAAAGACTTTGTCCGGGGAAATACTGCCACCTTACCTATTTCAGCCACCATGCAGTAATGTGAGCATTACTGCATTCTGGTTTGAAAGGGTAAGGGTGCTGGTGAAATTACAGGCACATGGGACTTGTCAACTTATGTCTCACATTGACGGGTACAGTGGCAGTGCCCCTCAGATCTTTGCAATTTAAAGGTGTGTCGATACCACCAGGCATACAACTTTTTCTTGTACAAAAAAAAAATTTATTGAACCTCATAATGCAGAAGAAAATTTTCAAATACTGGCAATTCAGAGGGAGTTTTGACTGAAGGACTAGAATCCAAGGTCATGAAAAAAATTTATAAAAAATTCTTAACATGCTAAGATTAATTCTCCAGGTAGCTCTTTAATCATATCAATACATTTTATAATACAAATTCACTCTGCAATTACGACTTAGTGGTGGTTTGCACTTGAGTGCTGGATAAAGAGGCTCTAGGTTTAATATATGGTGTTCCTGGTAGTGCCTTGGAATTAATTCCTTAACTTTTAATTTTAACTTATAATGATTGTAGTTGTCTGACACATTATTACAATTATTAATTTAAAAAAGGGTTTGTAAATGCACAAAAGGACTATGTCAAATCAATTGCATATGTAGTCACAGCAGAATTATTTTGATGTAGGTATCTGAGTTTACCACAAAGCTTTCTTGAACTTTAAACACGGACAAGTGGATCACAATCTATTATTAAACTTTTGTGGCAAAAGAAATTTTGTTATTAAATGTTCCAAGAACGTCTACCATGAAGGCTCTGGTTAGAGAATAACACACTGTTTGGCAATATCTTCATCTTAACTTTGTGGCTTTTTGTTGGCCAATATTTCAACTAGGATTTGTAAGATTGTCATGAAATAAATAAAAAAAAGTTCCTTAGATAAGTTTTACCACCACATGTGACAAATATGGAAAGTAAATTTCGACTGGTGGATCTCTGTGAGATAAGGGTCTACAGTTGTACTGAGTACCCAGTCAGTGGAAAGGACTAAAACTACGTACTTCTTTTTTAAGGTCCTATGCCTCATCACGAAGCAACACCTTCCACGGGGGTGTTTTCTACTTTTTTTTTTTTAACCATTGTAAAAACATTTAAATTTCGAATTTTTTTTAAATATTACAACAAAGCTCAAGTGAAAAGAAACATCTTACCACACAATTGTTGATGTCGATATCGACGTTTTCGACCTTTTTTGTGGAGGCAATGCCAACACTTCCCGGCGCGCAATATATCTGCTTTACAAGAGGAGATTCGGAGAGTTTCCAGCATATAGCATGTTCCCGGCCGCCGCTGCCGATCACTAGCACGTTTGCCTCAGCCATGATAAACTCTATAAGTCTCCAGTCCAATTTGAAACACTAAAAAACACGCGATGTTTACGATCACGTGTAACGACTAAAGTTACAAGAAACTTACTAAAACTACTTTTAAAGAAATTAGTTTGGTGTAAATATTTTAATAATTAATAATGGCATTAACAAAGGCCTAATAAAGTTTATTTTATAAGTTTTTTCTTTATATTTCGTGGCAGAACTGTTCACAATACGCGTAAACTTCGAAGTGAAGTGAGTAAAGTTCGTTTGACATTTCTTTAGTATCACAGTTTTGAGTTTAGAGAGGTGATTGTCTGCGTTAGAGTTGCAATGTCGATATTCATATTTATATTTTTTATACATCATCTTTAAAAAAAAAATCTAAAACTTTCCAAGGTTACGATATACCATACCTAAAGGTACAAAATTTGTGACAATGTTTTGTTGAAAATTGTACTTTATAACGTCATTTACATAGTTTAAATCAGATAGTGTTGCTTAACTTTTTTCTGTAATTGTGCTACAGACTGGCTTTAAAGACATAAAAGTACAACCTAAAACACGTTGTACTAAATACTATAATATAATATATACCAAAATTGACCAAATCTTACTTGTTCTTGAGTGACTACTTCTTGTATAAATTATTCTTTCATTGGCTATGTTGTATGTAGTGACAATCTGCAAAAGGCAGGAGATGGATGCGAGCTGAGGAGCGAGCGAAATGGCGCACATTGCGAAAGTTTTACGTTCAATAAAGGATGAATAGGTTGATTTAATAAAAAAAAAAACGCGACAACTACACGTAAACGAAAACTACAAGCGACACATACAAGTTGGGCTACGGTTTTAGATTCAAAAAAATATCAGTCCCTAAATAAACTGGCTGACTAGTCATCAAAAATTCAATTTATATAAAATTTTATTATATCGATAGATATAAAAGTATTGGGTGTCTCAGCACTATTGTTGATAACGGTCCGTTCGTTTTGTTGATAGAAAATGACGTAAGGTCAATAGCTAAAGTCATGGGTTACTGTGGGTCATTTTGTGCCTAGTGATAAAATTACGTCATGACTGCGCTAATGAAATGAAATTTTCATATAAGTTGCAGGTACTTAGATGCGTTGGAGCCGCGACACCAGAAAATCTTATCTATATTCCAACGTCTTAGTTTTTTTTCTTCTGTTAGTTGTTTTATTTATGCCTTTGGCGCTCAATTACTTGTAATAAGGGCGTCTACAGGTAAATATAAATTTTGACATGAATTCATTGAACTAAAAAAGTTATTTTATCGTAGTATTCTTGTGGTTTCAAATAACAGCAACCTAGCTTTATAAATAAACATGTCCGTTAGGTTTTTCTTCATTTTTTTCCATCCTCTAAGATTAGTTTCTTTATTTTTTTCCACCCTCTAAGTTTAGGTTAGAGGCGGGTGCCATTCAACTTTAAAGCTCTTTCCTTAGTTTGACGCAACAAGTTTTGTTAATTATGTAGAATAACCGGACAATTTAATAACGATTTACCAAATGACAACCCTAACATGCCTTTTTATTTCATTTTACGCATATCTTTTCGCGTTTACTGTATTTTGATTCAGGAAACTGAATTGAATCACTTTCGCGTTGCCTAGTGTTTTTCGAAAATATAACACAACTGAAGCTAATAGTAATAAGTAATGAGAAAGTACATCTTCTTCAGAACCTGAATTGTTTATTAATTATTATGTATCTTTGTCTTGTGAAAAATGAAACGTTTACAAAAATGGCGAATTTATTCGTTCTTGTCATCTTTCTGTGATGCTTGTTCGCCTTGTAAAAAGTTGTGTTTTGTTGGTATAAAATGGCTGACACTGGTCTACGTATGAATTTCGCCGCACTAAAGAGGGCAGATCCATACGCGAGAGAGATAATTGATAGCGCTACCCACGTCGCACTTTATACTTTCGAGGAGAACGAATGGGAGAAAACGAACATCGAGGGTGCTTTGTTTGTGTACAGTAGAAATGGGGAACCGTATCACAGTTTGGTGATTATGAACAGGTTGAATACGAATAATCTAATCGAACCTGTGTCGAAAGGAATAGAGTTACAGTTGAAAGAGCCGTTCCTGTTGTATCGGAACGCGAAGTCGAGAATCTACGGCATATGGTTTTACGACAAAGACGAATGCGTTCGAGTAGCCACGAAGTTAAATTCGCTTCTCAAAGAGTCGTTTAAGCAAGCACCAGTAGAGAACATGGCTCAAAATCCCGTATACAGCTCATCTACGCCTGCTAATGCCCAAGTGGACATATTTAGCATGTTGAGTAAGGCGCAAGATGACTTCAATTCAAATAAGGGTCTCGTGGCTAATAAGGCGGAATTGACGCCTTCGCGAGCGCCGGACATGACGTCGCAGAGTGTTATGGATTTCTTCGCCAAGGCTGGAAGCGGCGCGGCGGCGCAGATGCCGGCGGTAAGCACGTTGCCGTCGCCCGGCATTTTCGGGCCTCGGCCCACGGACCGCGACGCCCCGCTCCTCCTGCAAAGACTCATGAGTAACCCTGCACACTCTGTAGAACATATAGAGAAGCAGCAGCGCTCCGTCACGCCTCAAGACGCCCACAACGCCAACGGCAATGTGTCAATAGATACTATTCGGCAAAATAGCGCATTTCCTATGAAATCTACCCCCATTGACAAACAGTGTCAGCAAAGGATATCTGGAATGAAGAAGGGATTGGATGCAGAGACAAATGGACCTAACCCCTTGGAGAGTGAGCTGAATCTAATGCATATATCATCACCCAAGCCCACCTCACCATTGGCTACATTTTTGAATCAATCTCAGGACATCGGTCATTCGGTAAGCTCTTATAATGGTAGCAAGCTGGACGACATAGGAGTTTTTCCATTGATTAACAATCTAACTGCTCAGCAGAAGCCAGCGTTGATGCCTCCGACGATGTTCACCGCAACCAGTGGGGGGGATGTCCACCAGGCTCCAGAGCCACTCACTAGGAACCAGCTGCTACAGGCATTCAATTACTTACTTAAACATGATGCTGACTTTGTTAACAAACTCCATGAGGCCTATGTGAAATCCTTTTCAGAAAAGGCATTCTCCGTGTCATAAAATTCATTCTTTTGGGACGTGCAACCGAGTTGTCGGTAGCTATCAATGTACAGTTGTAATTCAAAGTATAAATCCACTAAAATGTTGTGTAGACCCTCTAGTTTTGTAGTCACTCATTGTTTGGACAGAGTATTTTTAAATAAGTTTTAAAGCATTGACTGTATCGTTAAAATCTGTACAGAGAATGAATTTTAGTGGCTGTCTAGCAAGTTTAGTCCAGATAGGTCTAGAAAAGATCTATTGGAAAGCCAGATGTGATATTTATATTGGCTTCAACTTAAGATTATCAAAATGTTAACATCTGACAATTGCTTTTCTTGTCTACTTTAGTTTAGTTGTAACGTTTAGTTCATTGCAATATGAAATGATTTTGTAGTAACAATCCACATGACAATACTAGTTATTTTGTAAATGCTGTTAACTCCTAGAGAAACACAATTTTATGATCAGGATTTCTTGCAATGAACTATGATGATAAGGACATAATTCTGAAAATAGAATTTGTTTGTAATGTAATAAGGACTGCAAAAATTTGCTATTTCTTTACATATATTTTTTTCTTATCCATTACTCCTTAGTAGTTTACGCATCCAGTTTTTTTAGTTTATTGTATATGTTCAATGATTTATTGCCAAATTGGTCATTTCTTGAGAGTGAGGCACTCTGATAGAATGTGTAAATGTTCTGTAAAATTTTTGTTCCATTGATTGATGTAGTAGTATCATCAAAATATGTAGAACAGAATCAATTAAAAGGCTTTACATTTGTTTCATAAATTTTCTTTTGCTACTGTTTAGGGAGAAGAGCTATAATTTTTCTAAGTTGAATTTCTCCTAAGGATCAATCTGCTAGGAGGTGTAGTTTGGCACACGTATTAAGTGTGTGGTTGATTTAAGTTCTATTCAGCCGAATTCTTAAAAACAACCATAGAATATAGACATCATTTAGAATGAATGGAGTGTATATTTTGTGGACATACAAACAATACTTCGAAAGATATTGTAAATCTTTCCAAAAGTCAATAACATCTTCGACTGATATAAAATTTATACTTTTGTCAAGAACAACAAAGATGACATTGGAATTGTGAAGTTCCGATTGATTTGCAATCAAACGGGAGCTTGTTCTCTGACGATGATAGCTTTTTTGGCCTATAAAATACTTAAATTACATTTTTATTTCTTTGAATTGACAGTGCGAACTTTTTAGATCTTGGATTGATAATTGCTCCCAGTAAAATCTGTTACATTTGTTCGTAGTTCTGGCCGATATGAGTGTTTTCGGACACGATTGTGAAATTTTAATTTATCAAAATAGATTCAAATTAAAGGGTTCATGAAGCATTTGGTATTTTTAATTCCTGATTATTCCTTCGAATGGTGTTGCTATATCATAACTACTATTGTAGAACCAATAGGTCATTAAAATACGTCGCTAAAGACTAGCGCGCAAATTTTCACCTTACGTAGCGTACAAGCGGCAAGCATCCGATAACTATATATAAGCGAATATGCTAACAATTGACATGAAATCGACACTTGCCAGTTGCAGTAATCGGACAGCAAGATTTGTATAAAATTCGAATATTCGCTTCTAGTCGCTTTAAAGAAGAAATTTTTCGGCTAAACGTTCTTTCATACACTACACGCTTTCGACTATGTGGGTAACATCAATCGGTTCCAAGACGCATTGGAGGTAGCATTTAACTAAATATTATTTTGTCTACATCTGGCGCACCCTAGACCACAATTGTCGTGTACCTTACGTCGATTGGCAAATCTATTCACCGCAATGGCAAGCATTATAGTGTATGCCATCAATAAGATAGAAGAATATTACATCGATAGGTCCTAAAGTATAAGGGCTAAATTAACAATTTGATCATTTTTACTTTGTGGGAAATGTTTCATTTCATATCAAATATACGAGTACTTTTATATGTGAATTCGAAGAGCTCCAGAAAACTTCCTGTCAGTGTAGTGTGATGTAAATACAGTATGAAAAAAACAATGACTTTTTTTGAAATCGATTTAATATTGCTATATTACAAATCGCATTTGAACTTTGAACAACCAGTTGAGACCACGTACTTTGTTTAATACAATTTGTTTAACTTAATGCCACCACGTGGTATGTCACTAATTATGTGAACTACTTTAACACTTGAGTAAGTACACCAGAATCCCATAAACCAGATTATTGCAGACTTTCCGCATTTTTTTTACATGTTTCCTGTTAGTGAGCTGTTTTTGTGGTATCTGTATACAAATTGGGTCGAGGTGTTTTCGGTCTCTAAACAGAATGTTTGCTGTAAGAACTTCAGAAACATCCTGTCAGGATTAGGGTTAAACCTACTCAGTAGAACGGAATAAGCAAAATAAAAACAAGATTTTAGTAGTACGGGCGCCGCCGTGCAGCCAAGTATGATCTAACCCTTAACCTCTCTTTTTCCTGAGGGTTCTGGTATACCTACACTTCATCTTATCGGTGGATTTTGCAATGTTTTAAATCATTTGAGTATAAAATACCAGGTAACTTGGACGTGATAACGGAATTGAAATAATTGTAACATTTTAGTTTACGACTGTTGCACAATTTTGGTATTGTCTTATTATTAGTGTTATAGTTAACCATTGGAATTAAAGAGTAAAAAACATTGCAAAAGTCACAATATTAAGTTTTAAATCAGAAGTATTACAATTTCAAGTCAAATTCACTGAAATTTCGCGTACTAAGTATAGATAGATACTAAACGTATTCGCGAAAAAAATATGTTGTGCTTTATTCTAATTCATGACTTATACATTGTGCACATTATAGTATATTATCAACTTATTCAAGTTTTACCGTTGAAGCTTAATCACGGTGGACAAAAATATTACTTAGTTCTAAGTCTCTCACATAATCCTGTCAATTTCTTATTTTTTGTAAAATAAATATTTGTCTTGAAAGTAAAGTGCACAATATCTAAGACATAATAAGTAGGTACGTTACTTCCATATAATGTTAACAAAAATTATTTTTAATCTCACTTCGTAAAGAAATCACCCTGTGAATTTCAGCAGTGGAACATGATATGCTACAAATAACTATATTTACAAAATACCTACATATCTTGATCTCTTACATCAAGACGAACGAACATATACTTGATCTTTACTTGTTTGGCATATTTCATGAAAAAGGTACAACGTAATAGTCGAACTACTATGTACAGCACGCATCATCAGCACTACACGTGCAACGGTGGGTCTTTTTAATCGATCAATATACAATTAAATTTTTGTTATTTTGTGGTTGCATAAACAAAACATATTCTCAAAAGTAAGTATTAGTGTTTTTCGTGCTTTAACACTCGTCATAATACATAATTTCGTTCGGCCGCAGATTTCATACAAATTTATAATCAGAATAATGTAGGCAAACCCTAACATTTAAAAATTCTGGCTGATTACTAAATAAGAGTTGACATTCCAATGACCATCAGCTATATTTGCTGGACGACAGAGAGAGAGACAGCAATGAGGAATTTCTAAAAAAAAAAAACTTTAAACAGTTTGCCATTGCCTACTAAAATGAAATATGCCTTCAAATCAACGTAAATAAAGTTGAAATTTCTGTACAAAATTGTTAAAAATCATTGCTGAAGTATGATTCATATATTAGGAACCTACGGATTAGGCTTTCACATTGCGGTACAATCTTTATAAGCCCTCAATGTAATGACTTTTTGCGTTGGTTTTAACACAATATATTACAAAAATTTAAAGGATGACCAGTAAATATTTGATCCTTAGAGCTGACTCATAATAACAAAGTGATGTAAGGCTGCTAACCGATAACGAATTCACGCATTAACTGCTCAATGGAGTCGATCTCGACTACATGAAGTCGGTTTTTATGTAATTAAATAATAATTTACGAGCTTTTATTGTGATAATTTCAATTTAGATTTTAAAACTTGGGAATAGTTAGTGAATATAATAATATACTATTGTGTTAAAACCAAGCCTTATATAAGAGCGCGCACGTTAAAGTCATTCTAAGTTTACGTACGATATTAAAAAAAAATCATATGGAAATCTATTTGAATTTTCTTACAGAATATTAGGCGCGAATTTATAAAGAATAGACGTAGTTCGAGCCCAATACGGTAGCAATACAATAGGTTTCTATGAAATTTTCTATTTTCAATGGTCTATCGCAATTCGAGCAACTTTGATTGGTAAAAAAAGGTATTTTTCCCGCGAGCCGAACTCTACGGGCGTATAGAGATTACGTCTATGCTGCGTAATTCCTGCCTGCAAAATGTACACGTCCATTTACCCATAATAATTGTATTTAATAAATCTAAACATTTATTTGGTTTAAACAAATGTTCCTTTAACTCGAAACAATTTTAATCGATACTAGAGATACTTGATTACAGACTTTCATAACTGTTTCACATTAAACGGAGATTCAGATGTGGCACTAACATCTTGGCCAATCGTGAGTTTTTCTTTATATACTCATAGACACATAATTCGAGCCACTTTGCATTGTCAGTATTAAATGTCCTTAGCTTAAATAATGTTTGATAGATCAATAACTAATTCAAGTTTGAAACCGATGTACTAAATGTGATTTTTAAAAGGTTTTGTTGAAAATTTTAATTTGCGAAACCGCGAAAAACTTTCTTCAATGATAATAAAATTTTTTTTATTCTAGAGCTTGAAAAGTCAAAATGTAAGATGGCTCGATTTATATGTCCGGGAGTGTATTTTCTCGACAATGGCGACACTAAAAGGACGCATTAATGTGTCACGTAGAATTTAAATATCACATTAGCAGTTTGCTTGGTAAACTCCTAAATAGACAATATAAAAATGCCCCAACTCTCAATTCAATGCTAAACAGACTAGCAATAGCTTATAAACATTTTGTTTTTATTTATCGACAAATGTATTACTGACCAGGAACAAATGGTTGAAATAATGGATAGATTTCATCTACCATTTTAAGAGTGGTACAAAAGGTTAAATTGACATATTTATACTTTAAAGCCTAAAGTGCAAGTGTAACGCGTGCGGTTTTAAAAAAATTGCAGAGGAGGATCCCATTTAATGGCGAATATGTCAGCCGATTGATGGAGTTAGCCATATCATCTTCTAAAGCACTAATGGATGAACTTAAAATTTTGACAAAACCTATAATTTACAAAACATGATATTCTAAATGGATCTGTTCTCTGAAAATAGTCCATTCCTACTAAAGAAGACAATGTGTTAGCCAATATAGCATCGAACATTTGTGGCGTATATCAGCTTACCTAGCTAACACGGCCATCATGTTCACTAATGAATGTGGTATTTAGTTATTGGGAACAAGCGATTCAACATTTTCGACTTTATAATAAGATCTCGATGTAATTTCTTGTAAATGCCTTTTACCAGCGAATGATCTATGTCTCATTTGTCAATAATTAAAAACGGAACTTTGTACACATTAATTAAGTAACACTATTCTATTGACGTAAAAATATTTTCACAACTTATGTTGCATTTGTGATTTGCCGATTTTCAATACTCAATTATTAATTAAATCAAAAAGACGTTTCGAATTGTCCGAAGTTGTGTGCTAGCTCATGTTCTATATATAAGTTTTACTACACTTTTAAGGGTTAAAACCAGGTAACGGTGACCTTTCAATGAAGCCATAATATGTGATATTTATTGCTTTTCTTACCTCGTAGTTATTACACATTCTAAACAAGTCTGTAAAAACGTTCACATGTAATAAAAATCGGATTTCAAGTATAAAATAATTTCAGTATTGTTGAAGTATATACTACTTACTATCTTTAAATTCTGCTGTTTTTTTTACTACAATAAAACCGGAAACCAGAATATATTTTTTTACAACGAGTATTAATAGTAAATTATACAGGGTGATAAAAAAAACACTGTCCATTTTTTATCGTGTGTGTGTGTATCCTATAGGTTTTTATATGTTCTAGATTGTGAGCGGAAGACATTTCTGTCAATTTTTATATAGAAACCACGCCACGTCGTAGTGTGTTCGCTAATTACACGCAACCGGACATCCACAAACGCACGGTCAATTCAGAATTAATATTATTAATTGAAAATACTTACGAAAATTATTACAAAAAAAATAATTAAAGACTAAAGAGATCAATTTGCGTTCGAAAATGGGCAAACCACCTGACTATACGTGTTTATTATTACACCAGTCGCTAGGATACATTTTCAGTTAAATTTAAAATTAGGTACTGAATTTAAGGGTCTATTCTGTTACGCACATACTGCATTTCAATTACAGATGTCGTACATACACATAAGGTTCATTTTAGAATGGAAATATTTTGGGTAGATGTGAAAGTCCAAAAGTAGGGCCAATTAAAAAAAACTATTTTAAAAATTAGTCAAGGCCTGGGTATTATAGGGCACATTGCCTACTACTACTATTATTAAATTGGTATAAGACACGTTATTGTTACCCAGAAACATTTGTAGCTATGTCGTTATGTCAATAGAAGAAATAACTTTTTGTTTAGACAGCCTTTAATTTCCAATTGGAAAAATAAACCTTATGTACAGGGTCAAGAGCACGTCAAGCTTGACACTTAAGATTTAAATCCAAGTCTATGCCGCTTCGATAAGAAAGGTCCAAAGTACCAAGCTTAATGTGCTCTTGACTGTACAACCTTAACGCCACCGAATTCAACATTGACAAACTAAAAAAATGTAATAGAGGCAAATAAAAAAGTGACACTAGCCAACTTCAATAATATTGCCATAATTTTTGGTTTCTGCATGCGTCCAAAACAACACCTAAAAATATTACGATTTTTTACTTAGGGCACTGTCGAAGCCGGTGTGCATTATGAGTTGCACAGTATGTTAGTGCGCAGCATAATAGTCCTTATTACATCAGTTTTAAATTGGGACTTTTCATCACTTAAGGGTATTTTGTCAATCTTTTACATTCGCACATTATGGTGGCCATTTTCAAGTTTACAAATTACGTATATCAATGACAATATTACAGAGTTTCAACTAATCACTTAGACATCGAGGGTCTATATTGTCCTGTCAAGCTTATCACTTTTGGAATATTCATCACCCAGGGTTTTCATTGGATCCTGTACAACTTTTTTATAAAATTTACTTGTAATGAACCTATTATATAAATTATCTTTCACCTAAGTGTCATCTAACCCTTTTTACCGTTCAACCGTAGATATTAAAGTGCAATGCACATGATGTTCGTAATATCTCTATTGTTGTCATCGAGACAATTTATCAAATCGATATTACGTTGTTAAGCTGTGATATCGATGTGCGAATGTTCATTTTAGAAGCTTTAGCATTCCCAAAGTAGCTCAAGTGGAGATTAAATTACTAAAGACTCAGGACTTACAACTACACTAGACGACTTTTTGCATTTATCGTCTCATCTCACTAAAGGCCTTCATTCACAGGCGATTCCTCATTTCACGACAATCGTATAGATCCGTCGCTACTCCCTTGGTGTTCAAGATAATATAGTGTATGTTTATGTCGTTACATAAACATACACTATCGATTCGTTACTTCGATCAGTCTAAAACAAAATATCGTGAAGACAAATCGTCTCGTGTATGGGGGACCTTAATTGCCGTTGTAACTGAGTAGGACCTACGGTATTACTCGACTTTAAAAAACGAACATTCTCCGCTAATCGTCGTCTATTTTTTATATATAAGAATATAACTTACAGGTAGAACGAGATTGACACGAACTCAAAATGTGAATTACTAAACCGAGAACATGCTGGCCTGTAAATTCTGCCAACTGCTGGTTACATTTAGTAAGGCGATGGAACGAAGTGTCACGACGGTAGTGATTGGGCAAATTCTTGATTTTGATACTTATTTAGATACAACACAATTACTTATTGCGTACAGCAGAGTAAAAAAATAATCACAGATAATTCAATCACTAGAACAGATGTGTCATTTTGTTTGCACTTGTCACGGGAAATCTATCTGTAGAAAATTAAAAAAACCTGTGTGTATTTAGTATGTAATTATATAATTGTCATTTTGAGTCATAACATAAATCATTTAAGCAGTATCGGAATTTGGTAACATGATAATGCATCTAATAATTTATATATCTATGAAAATAATCAAAGTGTATTATTGAGCTTTTTTTGTGAATTAACTCGCACACAACACTAGTTTATGATTACTAATACAAATATTAAATACATAGATTAAATATCTTCGACCCGATGGAAACCCATGACCACGCTGTACCGTAGGGCTGCTCTAAGTAACTGAGCTACAGGTTATCGAGTTGTCGAAATTCTCTTGTTTTTGCTATAGATCTCTGTACTCGATTTTTCGAGCACTTTTAATACATTTAAAAACGACATGAACGTTACCTTGAGATACCTGTAAAGGTACCGGCTGCGGTGAGAAGGTTCTAAAATCGCAATAAAATCCAGTACAGTACGGTACAGCGTGGTTGTGAGTTCAAGTCCCATCGGGTCGAAGAAATTTATTTCTATTAATAATCATAACCAGACAAAGTGTATATACAGAATTTAAAACACTTTTTTAACGTAACTTTATCTCCACTTGGCTGTATGTCGAGCAGTGTCCACCAATTCCTTGCACGCGTAAATACCTTAAGCTTCTTGTACTTGCCCAAATCCTACATAACCCGAAGCGTTTTACAAACGCTCCGACATACCACACCTACATGAAGTAGATACAGTAAAAAATACACAATTTATGTATTTATGTCTCATTTAAAGCTCACCATTTGCTGTCCTACATGTTGGCCGACAGAACAGATTACATTTATGTTAAGACATGAGAGAGAACAGTCACTTGCGTATTATTGCTCGTCATTTTCTGTTAGTCAACATGTTGAATAGTGAATGTGCCGCTTAAGAAAAAACCTAACTTAATAAAAATATTTAACTATATTTTATAACTATATGTATATTTTGAATAGAAGCGCTGAACGACCTAACGAGTGAAAATAATAATAAATAAGTTGAGGACGCCTCTGGCGTCCTTCATTTGTACAAAAGCCGATCTTACATCTGAAAACAATGAAAAATAACTTTGAAATAGAACCTTTTTGTAATACTGGTGCAAGTGTTAATTAATAGCAATTAGTTATTGATGCAGGTGACTGAAAAGACTGACAAATTAGACATACACTTAACTTGTGCAGCTATAGATGGCACGAGGTTATTGACCTGGCTGCTACCAGATGCAAGTGTTAAGTGGCAGTAAGGCTCAACTCAATCTGGCGCAAAGTCGAAGCGTCGCATCGCGTCCTGTTTTTCAACTACAACGCATGTTGACGCGCGTCGTTGGTCGCATCAGTGCTAAACCAGTTCAGAGACTTAATAACATTTACTGCGCGCAAGTAACGCACGGCTACCTTAACATTGGGAAAGTAGAGATGAATATGCTATACGCGAAAAATAAGACGCCTCGTGACGCTTCGACTCTGCACCAGTGTGAGTTGAGCCTAAAGGTGCCAGTACAAATATTGGTGCAACAGGAAATGACAGGCATGATTGTTATGGACAGGCGTGTAGCTTACCACCAGGCGCACGATCTGTTCGTCCCGTCACTTGATATTATAAAAAAAAAGATAATTAATACTACCACTGGCTCCATTAGTAGCCTGACCTGGTGATTACCCACACTAGTAGTTTTGAGTAGCAGTAGAATTACGACTGCCAATATTGGTGTAGCTGGCTTTTATATTAATACCACCATTGGCACCATTAGTGGCTTGACCTAGCGGTTATCCGTGCTAGTAAAAATGGTAGTCATATTAATAATACTAATATTGGTGTAATTAGGAATTAAACATTACCACTATTGGCGGCATTAGCGATTCAAGTTCAATTGTAAGAGACCGTCCACACTAGCGTCTTTGGAGCGTCAGCGTCTGGGCGACTGCTTGGAGTTTACTCCCGTTCTTTTGATTTGACTATTACTTATTTCACAGTAATTGTTTCGGAGAACGGGAGTAGTCGCTTTAAATAGTAACGACCGTCCGGTATACGTCACGCTGGTGTGGCGTGGCCGCCGTGCGGATGTTATGTCGACGCTGTGCGTGCGTTGGCAAGACGTTAACGCTTGAAAGACGTTAGTGTAGGAGGGTCTGTAAAGTGGTAGTAAGGTAATCAATACCAATATTGGTGCAGCTGGGAATGATAATTATGTCACCATTTGTATCATGATTTGTTTATTACAATACTCTATGCACTTACAGTTTCCAACGTGCATAGATTAATATACAGAATAGAAATTACAAAAACGTCACTCCTATACAAATTTTTGACGAATTTGGTGGTGACACATACTAGTGCAAGTGTTAAGTGGCAGTCTAGTAGTGATGCGTGATTGCAAATGATTTCGATTTTCGACTCGTTAGTAATTACTAATCCTGTCATTCGAATGACAAATTAGTAATCTATTAACTTTCGTATTTGAATGATCATTCATTACTAATCCATAGAATCCATAGAGCACAACGACACTCGTGATCACCTTGCCTTCTCTGGCAAATGGTAAATACCGTAAATGTGACGGGGACAAGGATTGTTTTGATACAGACAATGTGTGGTGTACCGACATAATAATAATTCGACTCCTGTAACAGGCATCGAGAAAATAACTAGAAATAGAGACGAAATGTCATTTAATCTGTTTGAAAACTATTTTGCTACAAATCGACCAGACTTGAGCTTTGTTATAATAGATGAAAATTTATTGAAAATTACATATTTAATATATAATTACCGATGAAATATGATTCTGTTTGTTTTGCTGTTTTTCCCACACCTCCGAATGGAACAGCCCCCCACTGTTGGAGATATTATCTTTATTGCAATAAATACAGAATATTTTTGGAATATACGGAGACGTACACACAGGTCAGTCGTTGGCGCTGTACTATTAGCGTTTTCTAATTTGTGATTTCAGCGCAAACAAGAGTTAATATTTAAATGTGATATAACGCCCATTTGTCTGATGAGTTGCCAGGGTTGGATGGCCCTTATTTCGTTTCTATTTCTAGTTATTATAGCTAGTTACAGGTCAAGTAGAATGATTGGGCTTGAATTCGACTTAGGTGAATGATTTGTCTATTCGAATTATTAGTATTAGTAACATTGAAAGTCGCCAGTTCCAATATTGGTGTAGTTGAGAGTGATATGAATATCGGCATTGGCGCTATATATACATTAGTGAACTGACCTGGCGGCTACCAGAGCCGGTGTAAGTGCAGGTTGCGCGAGAGCACGGAGCGTACGTCGTGCGTAAAGCGCAGCGCGTCCAGCACCGGCAGCAATGATAGCAGCGATGTGTCCAGTGGGTCTGAGAACCACGACTTTATCGGGATCGCGTTGTCTGGAAACGGCGGTGTAATTAGTCAACTTTGGTGTACGTTTTCAAAAGTACTCGTTTAAAGAATTGCGCTGTAGTAAGAAAGACAACATTTGAAAAACTCGTGTAAGGTCTTTGTTTTTAATTTAGGAAAATCAAACATGAACACGATCTTTTCAAATAAAAGAGCAATATTTCGCAACTTAGAATTGCGATGACCCACGCGCGATCTCAATTACATAAATATACATTTCTAAAAAAGAAGGATGGCGACATACCGAGTTTTTTGTGACCCAATGTTTTTGACCTTTCAATACGTGTGATTTATTGTCAAAGCATCAAAAAAGCCAATTGAGTACAGCCTGTAGAAGCTGGGGGTTATAAACTTGATATAGGTTATGTTTATAACATTGTGCCGTTTTTCACTTGCTGAATATTCCTAAATCTGCCAAACCCTGCTACATTTAATACAACGTTAACATTTTCTGTCGCAATGAAAATGGATAAAAATTAAATCTGCCCAAATGGCAGAAATCTGCCACAAATGGTCACACTGTTCTCAATCTTAAAGTGACATTGACATTGGCAAGAGGCCGCTTATCAAAACGTTCCTTTGCCAACTTTCGTATCTCTCATTTAAATATTGTCTGAAAATTTTTGTCACATTGTGTTTTATTTTTTACCTTATGTCATTATTGTGTAATTGATTATTTGATTATATATTTTATGACTTGAATGTTTTATGTGTGTACTAGAAAATAACCAATACTTTAGGTAAACATTCAATTATGCTTAAAATGAAAAGTACGTACAAGAACGTTACCTAATCTATGGTCGATCTGAATCAATTGCGCTGTGTTCTTGCATCTATTCTAAAATACATTGTTTTGCAGTTTCTTTATTCCCAACTTCTAAAAACATACAAAAATATATTAATAACTAGGCATAAACTGTAACGTAAAATTATACTAGCTAAGTCCATAAACGGCACTTCGTTGATTTTGGGTCAGCTTTCGCCATCCTTCTTTATAATATTATAATAACGCACACACTCACAGCACTAGGAAAACCCTGCATCGCGGGTGTCATGGACACACACGGTAATCAAACTACGGTAACCGTTCGGCCACGAAGGCAGTCTCCACATAATATTCGGATTTTATAAAACATTAGGTTTATAATATATAGTTCCGTTAACACATCATGCATAGTAAGTTACAGTAAAAGTTTCTTTGCTTGTATCGCAATATAGTTTTATTTGTTATAATCAGTGATCGGAATTCAGAGAGTTAATAGACCTAAATCAGTCATCAATGCGTATAAAAATTTATTTTTTACTGTTTATTTTCTAAATAGTCCAATATATAGGTTGTCTTATGTTTATTTCTTAATAAATTTTGAGACAATAATTTGTAGCGAATACTAATAAATAAGAAATTATAATTTCGTTACCTCCAATGAACGCTACGTCTACTTAATTTTTGGACCTGTTCTGTTTTTATTTCTTTTTTTTTCCACAAAATTCGTTTTTTTGTTCTTTTTCCGAATTTTGTATTTTTTTTCACAAAATTCGGATAGCATAATAGTAAATAAATATGGCTGTTCACAAAAACAACAGAAAATGACCAAAAAATAAAAAATATATATAAATAATAAATATAATAAAGATGGCGTAGTGTTCATCGGAGAAATTTCAATAAATAATATGCATATTCAAATATAATCAGTTCCAACAAGTCCCGGAATTTTCAGAAGGGAATAATATCCAGTTGTTTTACTTTAGCTAAATTAATCCCCTCAATTTAGATTATTTGTTATAATGCTTAATGCCATAGGATTTTAAAAGTAATATCTCATCATTTCAGTCATTGGATCCCCGCAACTTTTACCATCCCACAGGTCATCCGGTCGACATTGAGCTAGTCTACTATATCTGTAATTTCATAAGTCATGCATTACCTGGGAAATCCCGGTAGGCCCCGGGCGAGTTGTCGAGTATGAAGACCCTGTTGAGGTCGTCACATATCGACGACAGGTTTTTCGTGTACGACCCATGTTCGGCCGTGCAATGTTGTCTGCAACACAATACATACACATATATTCATATATTGTACATACACATGCATACTGTTCAAAGAATAGCAATAACCCCTTCGGTACAATCGGTCTACTTTCCCGATCGGTCCACTTGTCCAAATGGTCCACTTTCCGGATTCGTCTATTCCCATTTCGTCTACTTTTCCGATCAGTCCACTTTCACTATTCGTTTACCTTCCCGATCGGTCCACTTTTTTTTTGGTCCACCTTTTAAATTTGTAAACTAATAAAATTTTACACAAAAAAAATTCCGTTTTACAAATTTTCAAAGGCACTTTGTAATTGCATAAATGTCATGGAGTACATTTTTAGTATTTTGATATTAATGGCCGTTTACATTAACCATGATTTAAATTTGAAAAAACAAAATCAAGTAGACAGTTAGTTTTTAAGCAATCTGAAAAAAGGAGGAACTTCTCAATTCAACTGTCTTTTTTATATGTATGTTACGCGATAACTTTTTTTTTAAAAAAATTGTGAATTGTAAGAAAAAATATTTGGACAGGTGACGTCATTAACTTTATTGAGTGTAAGAATGTTTCACCACCATGATATTCAATTATTTTTTGTGAAAATACTCCACTAGTTTGTTATAGTTATTTGTTAATAAAAAACCAAAACAAACACCTGCAACAAGCACATAGAAGAATTCGTAAGGTCCGCTGGTTCCGTGACTTAGTTGGCATAGCGTCTGGCACGGTTTGCTAGAAGATGTTAGTTTGAATCCAGCCGGACCGAAGGAATGTTTTCTAAGTGTTCGATCTTTATATTAATAATTATAACAAACTAGTGGAGTAATTTCACAGTAACTATTTATTTAAAAAAAACCCACCTTTTGTTTTATTGAAATCGGTTAACGGAAAGTGCGCAAAACCGGATTCATCCCCTAGTCTGCCACCCTTAGAGGTGGAATATTATCTTCAAATTTAAATGGGATTAATACTGAGGTAACCTCTTTCCAACAAAAAAAAATGAATTATCAAAATCGTTTCACAAATTAAGTAGTATTAAGAGTTATCGCGTAACGTACTGCCTCCGTGGCCGAACGGTTACCATACCGGACTGCCACGCAGAGGTCCCCGGGTTCGATTCCCGGGCCGGGAGAAATATTTGTATGGCCTACATTTATTTCTCTCGTAAATTTGGGTGTAATTTGTGGTTGTCTATGTGTGTGTCCATGGCACCCGCGACACAGGGTTTCCCTAGTGCGGGGCTATGTTGAGTGTGTGCGTTATTATTAGTATTATTATTATACATAAAAAAAAGACAGTCGAATTGGAACGTCCTCCTTTTTTCAGTCGGTCAAAAATAATGGCGGTGATATATCCTGACATTAAATTATAATTTAAGCGACATCTCCAATTAGCTACTGCTAGCTGTAAAGGATAATGAAGAAATAGATTTCTCACAGATGGCGCTACGGCAAAAATGTTGTTTAAAATACACTGACTTACAATTATATGGACGTCGGGTCCGCGCTAAAAAGTGTCCGAACTTATAGGGCGTTAAAATCGTATACAGAGCGTCATTCACGCTTTAGTCTTCGTTTGTTCGACTGACAGCGAAGCAAGCAAAATTAGACAGTACTGCGATGACATTACAATTTAAATTCAACGTTGTAGCTTTTTCATATTCCTTTACATGTCACTACGTTTAAATAGGTTGACTTGGGACATTTTTTTTCGTGGTTTTTGTATTAGACCCGTCGTCCATTTATTTGTAAGTCAATGTTAAAATACGAATTTTTTTCTAAGTTTTCGATCTTTGTATTAACAATTACAACACGTAATGTTAAGTGAAAGGGATATAAATCAGTCTAATTTACCGGCTGAGGCTTTAGCCGTATGAGATCCTTTTGTTTATATCACAGCCGAACATATATGATAGTAATTCACCTGTAGAATCGCCGCCGCAGTACGCCGCGGCCGTTGTCCAGCTTGTCGGCGACAGCCGCGCCGTATATCTCCATGGACGCAGTGAAGACCACCAACTCGTACCACTGAGATACCTAAGAACCATTCACAGTTAGACTTTATCTTGTTACAAGTGTTTAATGAATACGAAAAGAGTGGTTTGGTCATGGAAAACGTATGATCATAGTTTCCTAAAGAGGTCCCTACTGTCCTCTGTGGGCACTGAAGAGTCCTAGGGCGGTAGGAGCCATGGAAGCATTGGCATTGGAGCAGTCCAGGGGGTGCTAACGCATATGAAAAAAAAAATCTGAATTAGCTATGTAAACTACTCTACATAATATGTTTTTTTTTTCATTTTTTGTGTCCTATCATAAAAAATGCGTCAAACCCGCGTCAAAGTACATATAGCTGATGTCAAACACCGTCGCATAAACAAGTCTGCAGTCTGTGAGCATATTATGGATAAACCTACACATTCAATGAAGTTTGACGAACCCCAGGTCCTTGCAAAAGACGTTCGTTATCTACCCAACGAGGGGTCATTGAAATTAAAAATATCCTTCATCAGGGAAGATGGTTTCTCTGTACTACCACTTTGGGATCCAGTATTTCCTCTGAAGAAAAATCCGAAACAGGCATAAGACTGCAGTACTAACTAATGTTTTAATTTATTCTAATTTCTATTGTTAATTAATAATAAATTTATCTTAATAAAATTCATTCAGTAAAATAATTTTTAAAACGTAATGTAGCGTAAATTGGAAAAATAAGGTATTTAATTAATAAGTTTTGTAACTATAGTGAAAAAATAGGGTGGTTTGCATTAACATTAGACATAACTGATTGATGACTGTACCACCTCGACCTCTGACTGAAACACAAATATATGCGATTTAAATCCGGAAAAATAGTTTCATTTCCTATAAAATATGTGTTTTCAATTTATTTTGTAGTGGTGGGCGTTGACATTTTTTTTTACCTAAGTGGGCGTGAGAAAACGTTTGGGAACCTATGAATTAGATTGATGGCTCAAATTTGTGGAGACAATGTAAATGGAAACTTGTGAGGAGAGATGGTCCTCGACTATAATATTTACATCAGATTGGTCCTTAAAAAAACGCCAGGTTAAAAATACCAAAGAATAAAAGGTCATCAATCATTGTTTGTGTATGTGTGTTAGAGACTTGCCCATTAAATTATTTAAGGCGAAATTTAATCCGACCCTGGAAAGGTGGAAAGAAATAAATAGGTAAATGGCTCCAAACTTATTTGTTATATGGAAAACAAGAAAGTTTCAGCTTTTTTCTTTTTGTATGTGTATTTTCCAAATCACGTTAGACGTTTTAACTTTCCAGGGTAACGATACGAATTGTTGAAGGATAAACTATATTATAATATTAGCGAGTTATTTAATTTTTTGTGTAAAAGAATTTTAATTAATTTAAGTAATTTAAATTACTTTAGTAGAGCCACACCCCGGACACTCCATACAACGGTCGAAAGTTATTTACCTACTACTACTACATACAGCAAGGCGCTATCTGCACACCCGCAAATGTGTGCGTGAAGTGGCAGGGTTACCAATCAGGCCAATCACTTTCTCGTACGTGGTCAGAGCGGCAACATAGCGAAACTTCTAACGCGAATCTGTTATCTATAATTCTATTAATAGAATCCTAATAAGTACACATGTTTATGAGGTATTTATATCAATTATATTTTTCATTATTTCAATATTAGCATAATCCTGAAGGCTTATTAAAAAAAAAAAATTAAAAGCACCTAAAATGTTATACTTTGGACAGGTACTTTTAAATAAGGTAACCAAGTTATTCGAAATTGCGTGTGCAACTTTATCATTACTTAGTTAATAATTACATTCACTACATATTTATCGGCAACACAAATTGAAAATTCGAGAACCCTTGTCTACTAATTTACATCTCATTATATTGATATAATAAATCTGTATTATACATATATTACTGTCCACTAAATAAATGAAGAAAACAATAACTGAATGAGTTTCAGACATACGTTTTTTTATTTACCTCGTTTCGTCTTTCGGAAAACGAAGGAAATTCCTCTCTTTGTCCCATTTAGATGTTGATAAACAGTTGTACACAGCTCAATTCAGGACCATTATAAACAGTAACGTATAATGATGCTATATATTAACGTACAAGTTTCGTAATTAATAAATGAAAACTATATTCGAATATCAAAGCCGTCTTAGGGTCTTAGCGCGAAAACGGCTCGCCGACAGCCTTTTTGCCGTTCCGTCAATGTGACCTTCAATGTGCGGGGCGTGTTGCGGTATCTAAAGCTAGAGAGGGGTGGGGAGTGTCCATTCTCGTTGCTTTTTGTTCTCTGATAGAGCTCCTTGTGAAAGAGTTCGTCTAGGGAAATACTACCACCTTACCTATTTCTGCCGTCAAGCAGTAATGTTAGCATTACTGCGTTCTGGTTTAGAAGGGTAAGGGTGCTGGTGAAATTACAGGCACATGGGAAATGTCAACTTATGTCTCAGGGTGACAGTGGCAGTGCCCCTTAGATCTTTGCAATTTAAAGCTCTGAGTGACATTGCAACTGTTATGAACAGGCGTGTAGCCATCAGGCGCACGACTCGTTCGTCCCGTCACTTGATATTATAAAAAAAAGTACCTATGACTAATATATAATTTAATTTGATTAGGTGATAACCAATTTTTCACTAGACAGTCTTATTTTCTGGCGAAGCATGTTTGTGCCTAGTATTTGTTATTGACCACCATGTTTCTAGCAAATAAATGATTCGATTTAAAGAGACCGACTCGCATTGGTACAAGGCGAAATACACTTATCAGAACGTAGCGAGTGCAGGTTCAGGGTCTCTGACTGCATCAGTGGAAGACGGGCGTGATGGTAAGTATTTATGTAATTAATAAGATTCAAGGCCATGTTTATGTCAACCAACTACACACAGACAAGTTTAACGAAACAAAAAGTTAGAAAATAAAATAGTAATGTTATATTAAAAAAAAAGAATCAAGGTGGATTTCCACCGGCAATGCGAGACGAGATGAGAATTGAATATCGCCGGCCAATTTCCACCAAAAATTGTCATTATTAGCTCGCGCGAGTTGTGGTGCAGATTCCTTGCTGTTCGTTTCGTCTAGTGATAAACACCCTGCTGAAGTAACATGTCCACGTTACTTCCACTACCACGCTATTAACGGAAGAAGAATCAGATGAAGCCATCTTTCGAATAAATCTCAGATCGTATGTACCCCACAATCTCGCCATTCATATTAATAGGAATCGCGAGTTCGCGCGGGAAATCACGTTTCCGTTGCAGTGTATAATACAGTATGTAGGCAATACGGTTCAATATTACATCAACAAATATTTCAATTCTCGCCTCGCCTATCCTCGTCAATCTAGATCATTTCCATTGAAGAGAGCGCAGAGCTCGTCTCGTCTCGCCTCGCCGGTGGAAAGGCACCTTTAGACATAAGGTAGCAATTAAATTAACATTTATAACATCTACTTACTGCTTTTAACAGACTGAGTCAGCAGATCGAATTTCTCTATGTGCTCATTTCAGATATTTGTTTTCATAAGATTCTAAAAAAAATAATTGCAAAGCCCTGCAACTCTGAAATTTGTAAGATTCGAGTCCAGGCGAGTCAAAAAAAATTTTCGATATTTGTAGCAATAATAATAACAAACTAGTAGAGATGTTTCACAAAAAATACATGAATGTAATAACATGATATTCAATAAAATAATGATGTACATTTATTCAATAATCGTCATTACTATTAACGTTTTCCTGTAAAGTACTTACACCCTTTGGCAGCTTATTTTTTGCAACAAAGTTTAAATGTTTTATGCATACAGTTAAAATCATACTTGCCATTACAATCCATCTATAACACCACATCTGGTCTACATCTGTACATCCAACCGGGTATAACATTGCTATTATTATTTGAATTATTCTTATTGCTATAACTTGTACTAGTCAGAGAGTTAGGATATATATTTTTAAGTGTAATATTTTAAGGAACGATTTTAATACTTAGGCTGTGCTTACACATGTTTGCAACTTTATTTTATATAAAGTAGTAGGTAGGTGTTACAGAACATGTAAGGGTGTAGCGGAAACACAAAATAGCTTAGGAAAGAGCACAAATTTTTATATAACAGTAAATCAAGATCAGAATTAGCTTATTATAATCTTGACTTACTATTATATTATTATTTAAGATAAACTTATATTAGTCATATAAAGTCTGTCACCCTGTGACGTAGTACAGTCCCATGTCCCGATAATTTCACTAGGCCCTTACCCTTCAAAACCGGAACGCAGTAATGCTTACATTACTGCTCGGCGGCAGAAACAGGTAGGAAGGTTTATGGTTAAGTCAAT